TGTGTATGTGTTCGTCTGTCCGGGTATTTCAACTCGGCAACCAAGCAAGTTTTAGCGCCAAGATTTTGCTAGTGGGTTCCCCGGCCAAGTGCCACCCCAGAGCTGCGGTACCAACGCTCATGCAGGTCTGGGTCCCGCGTGTGAGAGGGTGAAAGATTTAGCGGGAAAATTGATAACTCGGGAACGAGAAAAGATAGAAAGCTGAGATTTTGAGGTTATGTCCCCCGTTCAAATATAACTCAAAATTTTCAAATTCAACCTCCAGGTGTGCATGATTCCCGCTTATAGCCTCATGAGGGTTCCTGGCACTAAAATCGCTAGCTGGGGAACCAGAAAAGCTGGTAAGCTGAAATTTTCAAGGAATGTTCCCAGCATAAGTACAACATAAATCTATCAAATGCAGCTCCCAGTCATACGTGTTTCTCACGTGAAGCTTTTTGGCGGGAAAATGGCTAACTCGAGAACTACCAAAGCCGGGAGGCTGAAAAGGGATGTTCCCAGCCCACGCACAACTTAAAGATTCCAAACCCAGCCCACCAGATATGCTCCTAGGTCACATACAGTTCTGTGAAAGTTTTGGCGGGAAAATTACTAACTTTGAAAGCAGAAAAGCCGGAAAGTTGAGATTTTAGGAGAATATTCTTCATCTAAATACAGCTTAAAGGTTTCAAATTCACCCTTCACATACGCGTGGTTCTCGTGTACGTGCACTTAAATTTTTGGCAGAATAATTGCTCGTTGAACACCTGGGTCATTTTGAAAAAACAACCGCTAAACAAAAATTGTTTATTCCTTTTTACGCATAATTTGCTATGATTTACGGCATTGAAAGCACAAGGTAGGTGTGAAGAAACAACCGTTCATGCAGCTAACCTAATTACTTCAACTTTGATGCAAAAACGCATGATCATACCGGCTCAGCTGGTGCGTTCCAGCCGGGGTTTTCGGAACCTGTGGATTGGGAAGAAATTGACGCTCATTTTCATTATCCTTCAAATCCTGCTGTGTTATCTACTACGCAGTAACGGGAACACTTATATTTGTCTATGTGGCCCCGTATGAAAACCACTATATGCTGCGCAGCGACGCTATTATATCATTTTCAGCGCATATTTTTCGCAATTCTTATCGGTTTTACGCAGAACTTCGTAATAAGTTTCATTTCCCGAAGTCGTAGCACTTTCGGACTTGCGGATTTCACTTCATCGCTTTACG